ATAAGTTAGACTAGTTTCCTTTGATATAAAAAACAGAATTTGGGCCAGGCATGTGGCTCAGTTGGTAGAGCTAAAAAAAAAAACAAAAACAAAAAAACCCAAAATAAAATATTTAAATTATAAGTATTTTTCTAAAAATTCTGTCTGTCTCTCTTGGTCATTTTCAGACAGGGTCTCCCTGTAGCCCCAGCTGTCCTGGAACTCACTATGTAGACCAAACTGGCCTTGAACTCACAGAGATCCGCCTGCCTCTGCCTCCCAGGTGTTGGGATTAAAGGCCTGAGACAACACACCTAGCTTTTTTTTTTCCTTTGTTTGAGACAAGGCCTCATGTTGTCCAGGCTGCTTCCTGAAATGTGCTATGTAGCCAAGGATGACCTTGAACTTCTTTTTTTAAACAATATTTTACTATTTTTATTTTATGTGTATGACTATAGTGCCTGCATGTATGTAAATGCACCTGTGTAATGCAATGCCCACAGATTTCAGAAGAGGGGGTCAGATCCATTGGTACTAGAGTTATAATGCTGCCATGTGGGTGCTGGGATCCAAACCTGGATCCTCTGCAAGAGCAGCCAGTGCTCTTAACTGCTCAGCCATCATCTCCAGCCCTGTGTGCCCATGTGCCCATGTGTGTGTTTGTGTGTTCTTCTCTGTGAGTGCAGATGTGTGGAGGTCAGAGAACCACCTCACATAAATGAAAAAACATGTGTGGTGGCACACGCCTTTAATCCCAGCCTTTGGGTGGCAAGGCAGGTAGATTATTGTGAAATCTTGCCAGCTGGGGCTACAGGGAGGCCCTGTCTCAGAAAACCATAAATAAAAAAAACAAAAAAAAAATCTCTAAACCAGGAGAAAGTGGGTGCTATGGAAATGACCTATGAAGGGTCCTGAGCCTGGAAGCCTAGGCTTTGGAGTCTCATGCACATCCTGGCTCCAACCCACTTCCATTCTTATAAGTGCCTTTTTAAAAAAAAATATTTTTTCTGTCTTTTTGAGACAGGGTCTCCCTGTAGCCCCAGCTGGCCTTGAACTCACAGAGATCTGCCTGCCTCTGCGTCCCAAATGCTGGGATTAAAGGCATGCGCCACCACCCCTGGCTATGTTTTATTATTTTTATTTTATGTGTATGCATGTAGGTAAGTGCACCCGAGTCGTGCAGTGCCCTCAGAGGTTAGAAGAGGCTGTTTGGATCCCCTGGGACTGGAGTTACAGTTGTTAAGCTGCCATGTGGGTGCTGGGATTCAAACCTGGGTCTTCTGCAAGAACGACCAGTGTTCTTAACCGCTGAGCCATCTCTCCAGCCCCATAAGTGCCTTTAAAAAAAAAAAAATTTATGCCAGGTGTGGTGGCACATGCCTTTAATCCCAGCACTTGGGAGGCAGAGGCAGGCGGATCTTTGTGAGTTCAAGGCCAGCCTGGTCTACATAGTGAGTTCCAGGACAGCTGGGGCTCAGAGGTTAGAAGAGGCTGTTTGGATCCCCTGGGACTGGAGTTACAGTTGTTAAGCTGCCATGTGGATGCTGGGATTCGAACCTGGGTCTTCTGCAAGAAGTCAGTGTTCTTAACCGCTGAGCCATCTCTCCAGCCCCATAAGTGCCTTTTAAGGTGTCCTTTTTCTTTTGGGGTATGTGTGAAGTCCTGGAGGCCAGAGGGGGTCAGCTGTCCTGCTCTATCTCTCTCCACCCTATTCCTGTGAGTCAGGCTGACAGCCAGCTATCCCCAGCCATCTTCTACCTGCCACAGTCCTGGGTTTACAGGTTCCTGTGTGCCACACCCAGCTTTTTATATGGTGCCTGGAATTTGAACTCAGGTCCTCATGCTTACACAAAAAGCTTCCACCAAGCCATCTCCACCACTCCCGACTCCATTTCTATCACTAGTCATGTTTCTGGTTCAGTACTTTGTTAAGGATTTCTATCTCAGTGGGTGCCCTCTGTACTCAGATCTATACCTGTCACCATAGAGGGCTTTCTTCATTTCTTCAAAGACAGAAGGCAAAGAAGGCAAAAGGCTAGGAACAAGATACCCCCAAAGATCTGTCCTCTGTGACCTGCTTCCTTCAGGTCAGTCTTGACTGCAAGTTTTCACAATCTGCTTAAAATTGTTCCAAATGTGCAATACAGGAGACTACAGAGTTCATTTGAAACGGTCTCCTTGTAGCCCTAGATCTGCCTGCCTCTGCCTCCCAAGTGCTGGGATTAAAGGCATGTGCCACCATGCCCGGCTTAATATTTTATTTTTTTAAATGTGTACGAGTGTATTGCCTGCATGTATGTGAGTGCACCTGTGTCGTGCAATGCTGCGGAGGTCAGAAGAGGGCTTCAGATTCTTCTGGAAGTAGAGTTAAGGACGGTTTGCAGCTGCCATGTGGGTGCTGGAAATCAAATCTGGGCCCTCTGCAAGAGCAGTCAATGCTGTCAACCACTGAGCCATCTCTCCAGCCCCCATGAATCCAGGGTCTTAAGCATGCTAACCAAGTCTTCTACCATTGGCCTCATGTGGTAGCTCTTGCTTTTTTTAAAAAAATATTTTTAATTATTATTTTTATTTTATGTGTATCAGTGTTGTGCCTGCATGTAGGTAAGTGCACCAGTGTCGTGCAATGCCCACAGAGGACAGAAGAGCCTGTCGGATGCCCTGGAACTGCAGTTTCGGATAGTTGTTAGCTGCCATGTGGGTGCTGGGATTCGAACCTGGGCTTCTGTAAGAACAGTGTTCTTAACCACTGAGCCATCTCTCCAGCCCCCTTATTTATTTTATTTTCTGTGTATGTATGTATGTATGGCCTGCCTGTATGTAAGTGTACCCTTGTTGTCAATGCTCTCGGTGTCAGAAGAGTCCCTAGAACTGGATAGTTGTTAGCTGCCATGTGGGTGCTGGGATTTGAACCTGGGTCTACTGCAAGAACATTCAGTGTTCTTAACTGCTGAGCCATCTTTCTGGCCCTGCTTTTTTGTTTTTTGAGACAGGGTCTCCCTGTAGCCCCAGCTGGCCTGGCACTCCTTATGTAGTCTAGGCTGGCCTCAATTTCCCAGAGATCCGCCTGCCTCTGCCATCCAAGTGCTGGGACTAAAACCCTGTGCCACCATGCCTAGCTGGTAGCTCATGCTTGTAATCCCACTTATGGGAGGTAGAGGCAGGATTGCAGAGAGTTCAGTCTGGGCTACAAATGAGTACAAATCTGTCTCAAAATACATTCACAAAGAGAAAGAAAAGAGGGCTGGAGAGCTGGCTCAGCAGTTAAGAGACTATACTGCTCCTGCAGAAGAAATGGGCTCCATTCACAGCACCTACACCGGGCAACTGCCCACTGCCTGTAACTCCAGTTCCAGGGGATTGGACACCCTCTTCTGACATCCTTGGCCACACATACCCATGTACACACACCCAGACACAGATATATAACTCAAAATAAAACAAATGTTTAAAAATAGATTGGGAGGAACAGAGAAAGGAAGGAAACAAGAGAAAGTAAGGCTTGGAGTAAAAGAGGAAGGGAGGGGACAAAATGAGAGACCCAGCATTTGGAAGGCAGAGGCAGGCAGATCTCTGTGAGTTGGAAGCCAGCCTGATCTACATAGTGAGATCCTGTCTCAATAAAACAAAAAGGCTGGAGAGCTGGCTCAGCCTTTAAGAGCACTGGCTGCTCTTGCAGAGGCCCTGAGTTCAGTTCCCAGCGCTCATGGTGGCTAATGATCAGTAACTTCAGTTTCAGGGGCTCCAATGTCCTCTTCTGGCCTTATCAGGCATTGTATGCACATGATGCACCTACATACGTGTAGGCAAAACATACACATAAACAACAAAAATTACTTTTATATGTAAATATGTATTTGTTTCCGGGTATACATGCAGGTGAGTGCGGGTGCCTTCAGAAGTCAGCGCCATAGGCTCTCCTGGAGCTGGAACTACAAGCAGTTGTAAGCCTGCCAACCTGGGTGCTGGGAATTGAGCTCAGGCCCCTGTAAGAGCAGTACGCACTCTTAATGCTCTACAGAGCGTTTTCTCCAGCCTTATTTCATTTTATTTTAGGGAGCGCCTCACTTTGTATCCCTGACTTGTCTGGAACTTGCTATCTAGGCCAGGTGGTCCTGACCTCTGAGTGATCCTCCTACTTTAGCTTCCCAAGTACAAGGAATTACAGGAACGAGCCACCACCAGGTTTTTTGTTTGTTTAAGACATCGCTTCCCCTCAGCCTTGGATGGTCAGGAATTCCCTACGTAGCCCCGGCTAGCCTTGGTCTCAGAGATCCGCCGGGATTAAAGATGTGCATCACCACGTCCAGCTACCACCAAATTACTTAAAAAAAAAAACAAACCAACCGGAGGTTCTGCCCCTCAGCCCTCCAGGTCTACACTGGATGTCCTTCCTCGCAGCACTGTTTAAAATCCCGGGGACCCGTTCTTCTTCTACTGATGTCCTATGTTTAATGCTTATTCAAAGCTAGTCAATGGCCCTCAGCAGGTTGTGCCGGAAACGTGGCTTGCAGAACAGGCCAGGCCAGGCCGGCCGGGAGGATCAAAGCGCTTCCCAGGCTCGCCCTAGGCTCCGAGGCTCGCCTCTGTCCAGTCCTAGTACCGTCTGAGGGCCTCTCGGGCGGTGCACTGCACGTGCTATTTATTTCCGATTCCGAGGGCTTCGCTTTCCTCACTAGGAGAGGACCACCACGACCACCCAACCCCCTCCCGCAACTCCCCATGGCCGCCGCAGTGGCGCCCTCTCTACGCACGCTCCGGGGCCAGAAGACGCGATGCGTGCCTAGGACGGAGTAATTCATACGCATGCGCATGATCGACCCGGACCTACCCACAGGGGTGGAGCTTCAGGCTCTTGGGCTGCTTCTGGGCCCCCGCACACTTTCAGTCCGAGAGCCTAGAGAACGCATGCGCTTGCGCAAAGGGAGCGGAAGGGTGGGCAGGCGCGCACACGAGGACGGGCAAGCGGCGGAAGCCGGAGAAGTTGGACTGGGCAGGGCGGGGAGGGGAAGCGGGTGCGCGCGCGACGGGCGCGCGGCTGGCGTTGTGTGTGCTGGGGGGGAGCGGGCGACCGAGACCGAGCGGGCACGCGCGCTAGGATTTTTCCCCCCTCTTTCGGCGGCGGCGGTGGTGTCGGCTTCTTTGTTTCCTGAGAAGCGAGACACCTACTCTGTCCCTGACCTCGAGTACAGGGTTGGGGGCGGCGCCGGGAAGGCGACGGCGCGGGGACCTCCCGGTAAGGAATGGAGGTTCCGGGGAAAAGTGAGGCGCCGTGGCTTGGGGAGGACGGTTTGAATGAAGCAGAGGCGCCGAGCGGGCCAGGGGGAGGGGGCCGCCGGGCACCCAGAGTGGGGCCGGAATACGGCAACCTCCGAGGGTCAAGAAACCTCGCGCGCGGCCCAAGCCAGTGCAGCGAGGCCTGGGCTGCTTCCAGTCTCCCCGGACTGGCGGAGCAGGCGGCATCAGGCCTCGTGAAGGCCGTGCGCGTTCTCGTGTGGGTCTCCAAACAAAGCTCGCCCAATTTTGTGATCTAGGGACCCGAGTCTCCCTCCTCCCCACCTTACCGTCTGTGTGAACCCCGGCTTCCAACAATGGTCAGGCGCCATGGGCTCTTCTGGCCTCGTTTGTAATGGGTCCGACCCTAATGTGCAGTAGTCCAGTCTTAGGAACGCAGTTGTACATCAAATGTGTCCAGTATAGCTTAGATACAGATGTTAGACCTTTTGGGTCCCCAGATTGCACGTTTATTTTATTATTTTTTAAATGTCCTTATTCCAGATTTTCAAGAAGGGTAAATAATTCCCCCAGTCCCTTGCAGGTAGTGACTTTGAAATGTTTGTCTAAAAAAGTGGAGACGGGTACCGTTTGCTCTGGAAAGGCATGGAAGGCGTTTTTCTCTTTCTCCCCAATTTTCCAGATGAAAGCTTTTATTTTAAAACCTCGAAGTTTTATGCCTATCCGAAGACGTTAGTCTTTTCTTCTCTTTAAGTGAAAAACTCAAGGAAGACTAGAAAGAGGCATTTCATAGGAATTTGAAACAAATTTTTAGTTTGAATTGACAGACTGGCTTTAACTTTGATGCCTTGCACTACCTGTCGGTTAGCAGTGTGACTTTAGGCAAAGTGACTTCATGTCTCTGAACCTCTTAATTTTCTTCTCTGTTAAAAGAAATGATTTCGTCTGGGCGTGGTGGCACGCGCCTTTAATCCCAGCACTGGGGAGGCAGAGGCAGACAGATCTCTGTGAGTTCAAGGCTAGCGTGGTCTACATAGTGAGTTCCAGGACAGCTGGGGCTACAGGGAGACCCTGTCTCAAAAAGACCAAAAAAAAGAAAAGAAAAAAAGAAGTCATTTCACAAATGGGGTTGGGAAAAGCTGGTTAAATGATTACTACATTATTATTATTGCGATTTTTTTTCCTTTTTAAAAAATATTATTATTTTTATGTGTGAGACGAGGTCTCATCGTAGCCCTGGCGGGCCTAGAACTGATTCTGCCTCTATCTCCTGAGTGCTGAGATTAAAGGTGTGTGCCACCACGCCTAGCTATTATTGCAATTTTTTTGAAGGAAGACTTATTTTTATTTTATGAGTGCCTGCCTGCGTGTATGTAAGTGCACCATGCAGTGCTCGTGGAAGCCAGAGGAGGGTTTGAATCCTCTGGAACTGGAGTTAAGGACAGTTGCTAGCTGCCACATGGGTGCTAGGAACTGAACCCTGGTCCTCTGCAAGAGCAGCCAGTGCTCTTAATTTTTGAGCCACTTCCCCAGCCTGTATTATTGTGATTTTTGAGACTGTGTGTGTGTGTGTGTGTGTCTTGAGATAGGGTCTCCCTGTAGCAGCAGCTGGCCAGGACTTGCTCTGTAGACCAGGGTGGCCTGAACTCACAGAGATCCTCCTGCCTCTGCCTCCAGAGTGATGGGATTAAAACTTGTATGTCTACTTAAACAGGCTGTAAATGTGGCAACACCTCTTCTCTGCTGACAAGTATATTATTTGGCTGTTTGTTTTAATGCAGGGTCTCCCTGTAGCCCCAGCTAGCCTCGAGCTCAACAAGAGATCCACCTGCCTTGGCCTTAATCCCAGAGTGCTGGGATTAAGGGCGAGCAATACTATGTTAGGCTTTTTTTTTAATTTGTTTACATTTATTTGAGGAGGTCAGAGGAGGACAGCTCTTGAGAACTGCTTCTCCCCTTCCACCATGTGGGTCCCTGGGATCAAACTCAGGTCAGGGTTCATGGTGAGTGTCCTTACCCACTGAGCCATCTCTCCTGTCCCTAAGTGTATTTTTTTCATTGTGTATGTGTGTATGTGGTGCTGGGATCAAACTCCACTTTGTGTACCTGCCAGGCAGATGTTCTACCAGTGAACCATAGCCCCAGCTTTATTATTACTTTTTATTGTTACGAATGTGAGCATGGTTTGTTTTGGGTGATGCTGGGCATGGAACTCAGGGCCTTGTGCATGCTAGACATGAGCTATCTCCCCAACTCCTTGGCCTGCCATGTAATCCTCACAACCTGCCCAGTGAGAAGGACACAGTGGGGGTACAGGGGAGCAGTGGCAGACAGGAGGAGCTTTCCCTCAAAACCAAAAACAGATGTGTCCCTGCCCCTCATATGCTGGGGATGGAGCCTAGCCCTTTTCCTATGCTAGGCAAGCCTTCTGCTGTTGAGCCTCACCCCCAGGCCCAGGTTTATATTTTAGTTTTCCCTGGTCAACTTGGGTCAATTACTGTTTGCCTTTGTGACACTGGCACATTGTCTTCACCTGTTCCCACTGTGGTTGTTTCACCCATTGCCATCAAAGCCAGGGTGTGTGCATGGTGTGAAGGACTGAGTTGTTAGCAGATGATTGTGAAACAAAAGAGGAGGATCCTCAGGATCAGACATAGGTGTGAGGTTCTTAGCACAGGATTCTGAGAAATGTTGGTTGCTGCTGTTGGTCTTCAAACTTTCTAAAGGCCATTGTTTCCCAAGCTCCAGTTGTTGCTGCTTCCAAAAAGTCTGGGGATATGCTTTGTTTAGAGTAGGGGCAAAAATTGCTAAGTCTCTTTATTTTACTTTATTAATATTTTTATGTGCATTAGTGTATTGCTTGCATGTGTGTAAGTACACTTGTGTTGTGCGATATCTGTGGCGGTCAGAGAAGGGCATCAGATTCTCTGGAACTGCAGTTACAGATGGTTGTTAGCCACCATGTGGGTGTTGGGAATCAAACCTGGGTCCTGTGCAAGAACAGCTCTTAACAGCTGAGCCATCTCTCCAGCCCCCTACTTTTTTATACTTTACTCATTTGTGTGGGCTGTGCATGTGGAGGTCAAAGGACAACTTTCAGGAGTTGGTTCTCTTTCCACCATGCAGGTCCTGGTGACTGAACTCAAGTCATCAGCCTTGGCAACAAGCCCCGTTACCCACTGAGCCATCTCACTGGCCTCAGAGGTGCTAGTTGTTCAGTCAGATGTCTTTCATTTGTACCTAGCTCACTAAGTCCTTGTTTGACCTCAAATGAAACAGGTGTGAGTAGGTCGCTACTGCACCTGGTGATAGGTGAATGCGATGGCATAGGGTTGTTTACTAAGTGGTATTTTTGGGCGCTCTATTTGGTAGAATTAATATAGTTTTATTTTATTTTATTGTGGTGCCGGGGACTGGATCCAAAACTTACACATGATAGGCAAGTGCTTTGCCACCAGGCCAAACCTCCTGCCCGCTTGCATTGTAATTTGGGGTGGGGTCTCACTACACTCCCCAGACTATCCCAAACTTAAAAACTATATTTTTACCATAGTATGTGTATGATATGTGTGCTCCAGTGTGCATGTGGCACAGTGTGGAGGCCAGAAGACAGCCTTGTGGAGCTTGTTTTCTCTTTCCACCTTAATGTGGGTTCCGGGGATGGGATTCAGGTTGCTAGGCTTCTACAGCAAGTGCCTTCACCAGCTGAGCCATCTTGCCATCCTGAACTCTTTATTTATTTATTTATTTATTATTTTCTGGTCAGACAGGGTCTCCCTATAGCCCCAGCTGTCCTGGAACTCACTGTGTAGACCAGGCTGGCCTTGAACTCACAGAGATCCACCTGCCTCTGGGAACTCACAGAGATCTGCCTGCCTCTGGGATTAAAGGCTTGCGCCACCATGCCCAGCTGTAATTATTATTTTTCATTATTTTTCTTTTATGTGTATGTGTGTATTGCCTGCATGTAGGTAAGTGCACCCACGTCATGCAGTGCCCGCAAGGGACAGAAGAGGCTGTTGGATCCCCTGGAACTGGAGTTAACGGACAGTTGTTAGCTGCCATGTAGGTGCTGGGATTCGAACCCAGGTCTTCTGCAAGAACAACCAGTGTTCTTAACTGCTGAGCAATCTTTCCAGCCCTAGGGGATCAGTTTTTTTTTTTTTTTTAAGATTTGTTTTTATTTTGTGTCTCTGAATGTTTTGCCTGAATGTATGTAAGTGCATGCCTGCATGTAATGCCCACGGAGACCAGAGAGGGCATTGGGTTCCCTGGAACTGGAGTTAACAGGCAGTTGTTAGCTGCCATGTGGGTGCTGGGAACTTAACCTGTATGTAGGTGCACCACCTGCTTGCAATGTCCTCAGAGTCCAACAGAGGGCATTAGGATCCCCAGAACTGTAGTTATAGATGTTTGTTAGCCACCTTGTGGGTGCTGGGAATTGAATCCAGGTCCTCTGCAAGAGCAGCCAGTGCTCTTAACCACTGAGCCAGCTCTCTAGCCTCTATGCCTCAAACTCTTGATCCTCCTGCCTCAGCCTATCAAAGACTGAGATGACAAGAACTGCATCACCTATTTAATTTCTCGTGTGTGTGTGTGTGTGTGTGTGTGTGTGTGTGTGTTCATGTGAATATACTATGTTCACCTGCAGACTATTTGCATACCTTTGCTACTCTTGGTGCCCCTCAAGACATTGGGAGATGCAGTCCTAGACCAAGTTGATGTCTTAGCCTTTATGGGGTGTGGGAAGTCAGGAGGGAATGTGTGTTCTTGGTGGGCAGTGGGTGAGACCATCTCTCAACCAAGCCAATAATGTCCAGCAGGCTCATCCTCACCCAGGGCTCTGGAGGTAGCACCTGGATTGGCTCCTGGCTTTGCCATTCAGAGGAATGAGGGTGACAATGCCTGGCATGTAGTGAGGCCTGAGCTTTGCCAGCTGTTTTTGGTTCCAGTCATTGGGACTGGCATGGCACAGACAGACCCATTCATAGTAATAGAACC